TATCGTAAGGCCTTGAAGCAGGGAATAGGAGGGATCAGACAGAGAAAGAAGGTGGGAGAGAAGGGGAGGGTTGGACCATTTCTATGAGTACACATGTATAAGAATGTATTTCTAATATTTAATTCATAATTACTTATTTATCAGCCAGTGCAGATTCCATGCATATCCAAAGATATACAACTGTATGTGTATGCACAGATAGATGTTCCAGCATATAAATATAATAAGTTTAATGAATTTTATTGATCTATTTTTAAATGAGTTATTACATGGACATATGAAGTAACATGTACTTACAAGGGATACTCAGGAATTTTCAAAAGCGCTAGTCAATTGTTTTCCTATTCTTTTTTACTCAAATGGACTTTTCTGAATTTCTTACCATTGGCAAAAAATAGCTATATTTTAGTTTACATATTATGTACTTTCTGAATAAGTCTGAATGTTATAAAATACCTACAGCAGTTCTACCTTGTATGTGTGTGTGTCCAAAGATTGAACCCAGGTTCTCTGCACTGAGCTATTTCTCCAGCCCTTTCTATTTTTTATTTTAAGACAGGTTCTTACTAAGTTGCTAAGTTTCCCAGGCTGGCCTCAACCTTGGGACCCTCCTGTATCAGCCTCCCAGAGTGCTGGCATTATAGGCATGGGCCACCATGCCTAGCTTCAACACTACTTCTGTGCCTAATACATGGTAGTTACTCTTAGTTTATATGTTTCTTTCTTGTCTTTTATTTGCAGTGTTGAGGATGGAACCTAGGACCTTGCACATGTTCAGCAGGGACTCTACCGCTGAGCTACTTCCCCAGTTCCTCTTAGTTTATGCATAATATATATTTATTTTTTTAAATGTCAGATGCTGTACTGGGCACTTCGAATTCAGAAAGAATTGGATAGAGTAACTGTCTTCAAAAATCTTACAGAAATCAGCAATTAAGTAAATTCAATTTGTGATCCAATATTGGGCCTCAGCGGAAGTCTCTTCCTCATGGGCATCATACTCTCTGCAGCTTCTAAGATCTCATGTATGTTAGTCTCACTCTCTGGAAAATTCTAGCTCTGCTTTGTCACCTGACCGATTCTTATTATTTGTTATGGTGCTATAATTTAGATTTGGTTTAACCCTTAAGAAGTCATGTGCTGAAGACTTGGTCCCCAGTATGGTGATACTAAGTAGTGCAGAATATTTAAGAGGTGGGATCTGGTAAAGATTGTTGAGTCCCTGGGAGATCCACCCTCCGAAGGGATTAATGCACAGTTCTCGTGGAACTCTAGTTGGTCCCTTGAGAGTGGGTTGTTATAAAAAGAGTGTAAAAAAGCCTCTTCCTCAATCTCTGGTTTCCCGTTTCACTGTCTTTTCCTTTCCTACTTGCTCCTGCCATTGCAATGTGAGCCCTTCACCAGAGGCCAAACCAACATGCCCACCAGTCTTAGTCTTCATTACTTCAAGAACTATGAATAGGGCTGGGGATTTAGCTCAGTGGTTCTGCTGCCTGCCTCGCAAGCATAAAGACCTGAGTTTGATCTCCGGTACCGGGAAAAAAAAAGAACTATGAATAATTTTTTTTAAAAAAACTATAAGATAAATAAGCCTCTTTCCTTTATGAGCACCCAGCCTGAGGTGTTTTGTACAGCTACAGAAAACAAACAAATTCAAAAGTCTAGCTTGCCCCCAGCTTAATAAGAATTGTCAAGACACCTCAAATTCCCCCATTGCTTTTAGCAGATACCACCGTTCATTGTACTTTCATGTTGTGTTATTTGTCTCCCACAACACACTGAGCTCCACAAGGAGTGAGACCAGTCATGCTCACTTCTGAACACTAATGCCTTCTTCCTAGTACCTGGCATACTATGTGAAGAAAAGGACTGTAGCAGCTAGAAGACTCTGTTCATAGGAATAAAATGCAGTTTAAAATAGTGCATCCAGGGCTGGGGATCTAGCTCAGTGGCATCATGCCTGCCTGGCAAGCACAAGGTCCTGAATTCAATCCCTGGTACCAAAAAAAAAAAAAAAAAAG